CCGAAGACGAAGATCCTACTGGTTGTCTGCAACGTTGGATCTCTAGAAAAAAAATATAATCAGCTAAAATATAAAGAAAAAAAATGAGACGTCCTAAGAGGGGATAGTTTCAGGCTGGGATAGTCTAGGCCTCCTTAAATTGTTCAGTCAGCTTCCGGTTTGAAGTGCATTGCACTTCCTGTTCTCTGTCACGCAAACGTGACATATAGAAGTATTTGGTACGGGAAGGGAAGACAGTATGCTGTTGCATATCTTTGATAGGCTTTAAAAAAATGGTAGGTGTATAAGCAGGGTTTCTTAGTATCATATTAAGAAAGTTACATTTCTACGTTGAATTGCGCGAATTATTTTGAGTTCTAAAAAGCTATGACGTTTCAATGGGCTTCCGACCGCGACAACTTACGAAGAGTAGAATGTAGATCAAAATGTAATTTGTTCGCAAACGGTTCCCAACAAAATGCGCAGAAAAAGGCATATAGCTGCTTGAAAACAAATTGTCTCGGCAAATGGAAAGAATTCCATGTTTTTGCCCTTCGAATCAGAGTTTGTTATTTCTTTAATTTTTAAACGATTTTTAAGTAATATATGGTCTTGAGCCTGTGGAAACTGATCTGAGAGCCTCCGAACCGACTCGGTCGCCGTACGTGTAAAGTAGGCCATTTGCACTAAGAAGTCATGTGACATCGTTTTCATGAAAATGAAAGTTATATGATTTTGCCTTCGAAAAACGATTAGGGGGTCATATTTTAAACAACATAATGGCGATTTGGTTTTTCAAACCCGCACCATTTTCGTAAAATGAGTAAATTCGTAGCTGGTCACGTGACCAAAATGTGATCTTTAAAATTATGAATTACCTCTTTCTGGACACAAATTTTGCACTTAAACTTCAAGGGAAATGTTGAAAAGATGAAGTGGTAACGTTTAAAGCACATCTGAGCGTAACTATCTAACGTTTAACAAGGTAAAATCAAAAAGTAGTTTTGGCCGCCATGTTGGAGGGCACGAGTATGCCTTCCAACATGGCGGACAATACAATTACTACTTTGCTGAAAAATCAAAGTCCCATAAAATATCTCCCTTAAATGGGCTTATTTTCAAACTGCGGGTGTAAGATAATTTTTATGTGCTCTGTCAATTTTTGGCATCAGCGAGATTCCAACTTATTGTTTAAAGGAAGCAATGGTCACGTGACCTCTTAGTGCAAGTAGCCTATAAAAATCCAATAGAACTAAAAGTTATTTTTCTAGAAATAGTTACCTAGACCTATATTCTCACAAAGTTTGTGGACTTTCGATTTTTTCATTTTGCACACCCCCAGGCGATATTTACGGACGGCCGCTCTTAAAAAGTGATAACTGAATTATTTTTCTTATTGAATTTATACGGCTACAGACTAACGACCAGTGTTATTGTGTTATTTCGTTTTCAGTGAGTTTAGCATGAACTGAGACAATTGGAAAATGATAGTCCCTCGATCATTAAAGGACGTAATCCAAGACAGCCATCGAAGAGTGTGTGGAAGTCTACTTTGACGGTTTCTAATTTAAAAAATGTGGCTTTAATTTTTGATAGTAACTGAAACGTCAAGCCATTCCCAATTACTGTAATCAGGGGAGTAAATAGAGCGATACAAAGTTTACCAATTTTTTTTTTATTGCTTGTTGTACGCAGAATAAATAAATATTGCCGTAGTATACCTACAATAAAAATAAAGGCACCCGATCCTAACTATCCAAACAAAAGTTGTCAGTTTTCTTGCCCCGACAGCTCAAAAAAATGCCTAACAAGAACCCATGATTGCACTCCGACGCTGAACAAAGATAAAACATTTCCAGGGAATCTTTGCACAGGCGTTAACTCTGATCGAGAAATACCGAGAGCCTGAAGAGCGATGCGATAAGCAGCATCTAAAACGTAGAAAAGGCAAGGTATCAGGAAACGTTTCCTTTTAATCCCATGATTTGATAGGATCTAAAGAAAAACAGAATTTTGACAGAAAACCAAAAATGAATGAAAACTGTTTCAATGCATTCGGAAATGGTTTTCGACCATTGGATCTTCGCTGCAACGGAGTCCTTCGGTCGAGCCAGCCAAACTAATGTGACTTGATAGCAAAAATACTACACAAGCATAACGAACGTTCCAATCAGGCTGGCAACCAATATTTGGAAATTATTTGGAAATTTTACAAATTATTGATGGCCTGAATCGTTTCCATTCCATCTCTCCGTTTACGTTTTCATTCTGTATATTCTCTTCATGGTTCTCTGGCGAGCACGCATTTATAATCCCTTGACTTCCATTGTGACCATACCCTTTGAAAATAACTTCGTGAACGGGATGAAAGTTCCATTCTAAGCCCTGCGTTCTAGGGGATTGAAACAGAACGTCTTTAGACCAAACTCCACTTCATTTGGGTTGTCATTTTCAGCAACATTGCAAGTGAATCTAAGAATTATTCCTCCAAACATTTCAACGAGAGCACTTCCAGCCATTATTAATGTCAAACTACCGAGATTGACTTTTTTTACGAGTTGAATCGCACTAAACCAGGAGCCGACGACTGAACTTAGAATCACTTTTCGTGCACAGTCAGTTGTAGGTGGTCACTGGCCTTAGCTTCCCTTTCAAGCAACAGTTAAAAGTTTAGTTTTCACTGTGTTCTCGAGGTCGGTGACGAAACAAGAATAAGATGCTGACCCGTGGAATGAAAACTGAGGATTGTGCTCAGGATGAGTTTCACCATACAAAGCAAACCCCTCCTTTCATATAAACTGGTGAAGGCCTGTTTGACTGAGCTTGTAGTGTATTTGCTGTTGATTGAAACTGAAATTTCTTTTTTTAAAATTTGATGAAGGAATGAAATATAATCCACTACTACTGAGGTAAAATCATTTAAAATTCATATCGTGCGTTTTAATTTTAGAAGAGAGTACTTTCAGTATTAATGAAAAGATCAAAGATAGATCATAACACGCCGGCATTAAAATTCCAGCCGTAAAGTCAGGGGCACCCAACGACCGGATGTTTCCAAATACGTCAGAAGTGCCTCAAATGGTTTTCTCTTTGCGTTAGAGTCCCGTTTGGTTAATTTGGAGCTGCCCTAAAAACTATTTATCTGTCGGGCGTCTTAGGGGAACTGTCGAAAGTTTTAGGTAGCTATTTCGTCTCATCCGAAACTGTTAACTATCCTGATAGGTCCGATCTTTATACCGAAATTTTCAGGAGACGTTTTGTTTTTAGCAATTTAACCCAATATCTTGGTAAAGATGGGAAGAACACAACCTTAGAAAATCGTAGGTGACAAAGTAGAAAAACTCCGAATATCTTAGGCGAATTTTTAGCCTTTTTTGAACTTTAGAAATTTCTAGGCAATATTTGCTCTTTCGAAAAGCTACTTTGTAGAAAAAGAAAGTCGTTGGGTGCCCCCATAAAGTATCCACATGAAATGCGCACTCACTGATATAAAAATTACAAGTTGTCAGGGAATGCTGCTGGGCTAGTGTTATAAATATTTGAAGCAGAATTTTGTCTGAGTCGTTTCGAAGTGGACATCACTGAACAAGCAGATCTGAATTCGTTGGTCTGCGGCAGGTCATGAAAAACTGACATCTCCTTTGGAGCCGTAAAAACTACTGGTCGCACTTGAGTTCGCTTTGTTGCTCTTTCTGTTTGTTGGTAAGCACTCAACTGCATGTTGCGTGATGCGAAATGCTTCCCATGAGTAAGTTGCGTTTTCTGAAAGAAAATTGGAAAATGTTCCTTATAGATGTCGATTATAGTGTGCCAATGGCGGTGCATGCATACACCAGAAACACTGTAGCAAAGAAAATTTAGCCTAATTGAGCGTAATGAACCGCTTTGAAATCTTCTAACATCCTTAAGTCTGCGAGCGAATCCTTGAACAGTTCCTCATTTCTTAAGTGTTTACTCCAAAAATTTGACAATAACTCTAGCGTATTTTATCTAACTTCCCTGATAGTATAAAAAATTTACAAAACCATGTTGAAAACTGAGTTATGGTCAAAGGTTCCTTAACACCAGGTTACTAAATTAGCAACAATTCAATGTTCAAAACACCCTTATATAAATAATAGTAGCTTTCAATGCTACTACATTAAATGAAAGCCAAAAATCCCTCGTATTTGGTTGGCCGCTTTATGCAGAAAACACTGACAACTATTAACGCACCTGATCAACCTGAAGCCGTCTTTTCAGGGGTTTTGAAGATGAGTTAGTCCTCAGAGACTGATTTATCAAGGCCTCGTACAGGTCTGAGTGGACCAGGAGGGGATTATACGTATTGGATAATTCAATCTAAAAAGTACCCCAAAACAAATGCTTACGTCTCCTAACGGAAAATTCACGAAATCAGAGGCTAAAATGACTCTATAGATAAACACGCAAATATAAAAAAAACCCATAAGTTTTCATTGTATATATATGTGGAATGAGATTGATCATCGGTTTACATTTTTCCGTTACTGATTCATTTTCTTCAAAGATATACACATTAGCGATAACATTATTTTTGTCCCACCAAAAACTATACAGTAAAAACCCACGAGTAAGGAGCTGTATTTTCCCAAGTTAGCCTTGACAGGTTCTTACGTAAATGGACAAAGAATTAGCTCAAATTTAGGCTATTTAGCAAATAGGCTACATTGTAGCTAAGAGTATTTAATGGTAAACACTGAACAGGTTCTTGTATAGGGGGGCCTAACATGCAAATTTTAGCCAGCTAACTCAGGTTATTAAAAACCAGGTTCTTACTCACGGGTTTTTGCTGTACTCGAAATAGTGTTCTATTTTACTTACAGTTGTAAATGTGTGACTCTGAATTTTAAGTTGAAAGAAGGTAGATAAGCATACTTCATGCTTCAAGAAGTTCAACTAATTATAATGACCTTTTCAAAGTTTTTATTCATTATCCCTTCTTTAGATAGACATGATGATGTTTTTCTTATATATATATATATATATATATATGGAAAAAAAAACTTTACCTGGTCAAGACATGTGGCTACAGCTGATAAGGCACTGTCGCTAGGTCCCTCTACAGAAGACTGGAAATCATTAGGTAACATCAGCTCACTAACAGCAATGGACTTTAGCAACAAAGAGTTATTATCAGAAGGAAGAAACAAGTAGTGTCCTTCTGCAGACAAGGGTGTCACAGGCTTCTCAACACCAGGCAATGTCACAGGCTTATAACTTGTCTTGGCCAACAAGGCGACGCCCTTTTTGATTTTAAAGAAGAACAGAAAAAAGGATTATTTGCCTAAACAAAATTAACGCGGGGCGACGAAGCTAAAACTGAGTGAGATCGGAAATTACACAATAAAGTTCATGTTCATTAACGATAAACAAAAAAATGTTCTCCAAGAAAACAGGGATATGGTTTAAGTTGTGAACTTTAATCAAAATTTTTTTCATTGTGCTCTATGGTATCCATTGATATGAAGAGAAACACTCGGAATGAAGTTTAAGGGGTACTTATAAAAAAAGCAGCACCTCATTAACAACCAAGCTCTTGTCACCTGTTTAAAAAGAAAATGTAAATTGTACCCTTTCATTTAATACTGAACACAGGGCATGGAAATGCTGTTGGTTACTTTCCAGATCCTCCCAGTCTAGCTTCCAGCACAACGTGGGTCGAACAATGAAGGGCTGCCACAAAGAAAAGAAAAGAAGAAGTAACTAGTGGTTAATTTAACTCAAATCTGTGTCCACAGTTATTGCTGTTTTTCAGGCTGGTGCCAAGAAAGTCGTTGGGATTCGGTTGACATGTGTTGTATGCAGTATGCTGAAAGGACAAATGTAGAAAGTGTTTAATTTGGAGGAAACGAAGGAGGGACATAAAAAAATAATGAATGAATGAATGAATGAATGATCGAACTAACGAACGAACGAACGAAAGAACTAACTAAGGGGAAAAGGAAAGAAGGAAGCAAGTAGAAAGGAACGAGAAGTGTGGAAGGAAGGAAGGAAGGAATGAAGGAAGGAAGGGAGGAAGGGAGGGAGGGAGGAAGGAAGGAAAGAAGCAAGGAAGGAAGGAATGAAGGAAGGAAGGGTGGAAGGAAGGAAGGAAGGAAGGAAGGGTGGAAGGAAGGAAGGAAGGAAGGAAGGAAGGAAGGAAGGAAGGGTGGAAGGAAGGAAGGGAGGGAGGGAGGAAGGAAGGAAAGAAACAAGGAAGCAAGGAAGGAAGGAATGAAGGAAGGAAGGGTGGAAGGAAGGAAGGAAGGAAGGAAAGAAGGAAGGAGAGAAGGAAGGGTTGAAAGAAGGAAGGGTGGAAAGAAGGAAGGAAGGAAGGAAGGAAGGAAGGAAGGAAGGAAGGAAGGAAGGAAGGAAGGAAGGAAGGAAGGAAGGAAGGAAAGAAGGAAAGACATAGTATATAAAGAATTATTGGAAGTACCCTATATTATAATTTAGTAAACTCACCATTCCGAAGAGCTAACTCAAGGAACATGCAAAAACAAAAAGAAAGCAGATAACCAAAGAACAAAATTAGTAAAGAAACAAACTGAGTCACTCTGGTGAATGTGCTTTCAAACAAAAGTTTGTACGCTAAAATTTTCCCGTAAACCTGTTTTTAACATTCATTAGCACGCTAAGCAATAACAAAATGACAACCTTACAAGCAATAAAATGAATCAATGTTTGCTTACCACAGATTCACATATTGCATCTGTCTTAACGAGTTTTACTGCAGCCAAATTATACACCGGATAACTCAATACGGTAGGTTTTGTAACTGCTACCCCTTTACTCGTTAGATTTGTTGACTCTGAGCCCACCGTCTGTGGATTAAATTGAAACAAAGACGATCAGTTATTTAAGTTACTGCAGGAGACAATGCTGCATGCCTTGCTACGATAATTTCCCAAACCGTCTACTCTCTTACGATGGGCCCTTTGCAGGGAAACCGTCACATTGTACAAAACCACCTTGCTGGAGGGCAAACAACGCAGTGGGACCTTGAAAAGAAAGAATATTAGCTTTTTGAGTGATGTAATTTCCTTGTTTTTCTTGCCCAGCTGTGTCGTTTGCCACCCAGCAAGGCATTTTTAAACCATGTGACCGTTTCTCTGCAAAGGCCCATTGCTGCTTCACATTTAAGATGAATAATTTTGACACTGAACTAAAATTGTGGCTTGGAAGTGAAGAATTTTCAGAGGCTATGTTATTTCTCAAGGTATAACCTCGGTACTGGTTTTCTGATTGTTAACAAGGAAATTCTCTGCTTTCATATTTTAACCACTGATTATCACGTTGCTTTACGCAGTATTTCGGACGATAAAGGTATTGAAATCGAGGATTAAAATATTAAGGACAGCATAATGTCGAAGGCTTGCTGTGAGCTTGTGACTTGAAATGAGACTCACAGATTTTAAATAGCAGTAACGAATTGTTCATAATGATACGATATAAAATTTCAGATTCACGCACGAAATGACAATTTTTCATAAATACAGTACGCTTTAACTCCAGCCTTGGTATCATAAACTTAGAGAGGGTTGCAGCATTGCTGGCTAATTGAAAATCTGCGGTAGTGAACAGGAGATTTATATATAACACTTACATAATTAAACTGGTAAGGTAAATGCAAAGGATCCAGCAAAGATTCGTGAAGATCGCACTTTAAAGTAAGGCCTGTGTCGACCATTTCCTGACTTTGATCACCTGATGTGATATGAAAATATTCAGATTTTAGTAACGTAGCTAAGTCAACGCCTTAACGGAATTTCGGTTACGAAATCAGTATGAAATAAATGAAGATGTAAATGATGATTAAGATGAACATAATACTGCTTATGATGACTGTGATGACAGTAGGGAGCTTAAGAGACGACGACGACGACGACGGCAGTGAAAGCTTTCCGGGGTTAACAAAGTTAACTTGCGTCGATTCAAACTTTATCGCCTCTATTTGGACCGCCTAATTTCGAATGCAGGCGATTTTTCCTTGAGTTGAATTAGTAAGGACTTTATCCAGGATCAAAAAGAGAATGGAAAATTCGTCGTCGTATGTTCAGGTCCTCCATGAAACGTCGCGTTAGTATGTTACACGTCGTAATCGTGCAGTGGACGTCACTGAAATGATGTACGTGCAGAGCTGTTGTTTTGCTCATAAAGGCAATTTTTTTTTTTTTTTTTTTTTTTCGTTTGTGTTTTTTGGGAAGGGGTGGTGGTTAAGCTTTTAGCGAGGAATAAAAGAAAACGGACAACACGACAACGAAGATGCTGATGACCATATGGGCCTCTTTGAGATGGGATTTATCGCCTTTTTTTGGACCCCCAAATTTCGAATGCAGGCATTTTTTCCTTGAGTTGAATTAGAAAGGACTTTATCAAGGAAAAAAAAGAAAATGGAAAATTCGTCGTCGTATGTTCAGGTCCCCCATGAAACGTCGCGTTAGTATGTTACACGTCGTAATCGGGCGGGGGACGTCACTGAATTGATGTACGTGCAGAGCTGTTTTTTTGCTCATAAAGGCAATTTTTTTTTTTTTTTTTTTTGACGTTGTCGTTGTAGTGGAAGCGTGGTTGCTTAAGCTCTCAGCGAGTAATAAACGAAGACGACGACGACGACAACGATGATGCTGATGACAATATGGGCTCCTGTGATGACGAAGATGATGAAGGTGGTGGTTGTGGTGGTGTTAGTGATGAAAGTAACAATGATAAGGATGACACTCAAGGTGATGGTGATGGTGATGAGGATATTATGCTTATCATTTCATTTCATTTTATTGGTTAATTCAGATTTACAATTTTATTTTCTCACTGCCCACAAACAGAAAAGGCTAGTCTAGGAGGGCTGTGTCTAGAAAGAACAAAATACGCACTCCAAATGGTATCCAATTGACATGTCAACAAAAAGTTATTTATATACATTGTACAAACAGTGTACAAAAGGTAAAGAGAGGAAGAAAAGTTACATTAAATAATAACGCTGAGGTTAGCTGGAACACGGAATAAATCAGAAGCTTACAAGTACACTATTAAGATGATGGCAAAGATAATGAGTGGGTGAGTTACGGACGAATGTGAATATGTTGCATTTGTCCTAATAACGTAGAAAAGATCAGGTTCGCGGGCGTTTGTCTGTGAAAGGATTTGTAGTGAGCAATTATGTATTTTCTTTTTAAAGCTATGCTTTTGGGGTTTTCTAATACTCGGATGTATATGCAATGCAATGCAATGTCATGACAATTAAATTGATGATAGTGGCCAGTGTTTATTACGACGGTGATAGAGATGTTAATATTGATGATGTAACTAAAAAGATTATTTAAATTTGTTCGTTGCTTAGGATTAAGCGGTGAAATGGAAGACGTTGTACTATAGATCACTATATGGGAGTAAGCTGATGACGACTGAACCCTGATGATGAAACAACTTTACTACTGACTGAGAACAAAAATGGGCCTTCGATGCTTCACATTTTTTAAACGTACTTTCTTTATCCTGGTTAAACGCGCCGGGCAGAGACAATCGTAAATGCTCTTGATCTGTGCCACAATCAAGCAGCCATGTCTTGAAAAAGTTTTGAAAATTTAGGACATCTGCAGAATGGAAAAGAGCATTATTTTTCATAACTTGAGAAAATTACTCTTAATGACCTACACACAAGATACTGTTCAGAGAGAGTAACTATAGGTATGTGATTTGCAAGCCGTTTGTTTAGGCTGAGGTTTTTTTTATATATTTGATTGCCTTTAACGACACCTCAACTTTGCGTAACGCGGGAAAAATAGGTCGGGTCACTACTGGCCACGTAAAAGCAAGGTTTTTAGTTACGCAAATTACATTTTTAAAGTGTCACTGATCACGCATCGAAGATACGAAGATTACTGGCCATAGCCGCATATGGAATACAAATTGTAAGTTAACATTTGCCCGTCATCGCTTCAACCAACAAACTGATTTGTATAGTAACCTTTTTTGTCATATTAATTTCGTTTTCCTGCTACGACTACGACACATTCGGACGCCACGATTCAACGATTTGTATCGTCAAGTGCAAATATATCCAAGTCACGCGTGAAACTCTGTTAGTAGCTAATCTTCAACTATAAAAAGTAGCCCCTTCACGCACTGTAGCGAGGCAGCATGATTCAGCATGATTTGTGGATTCAGCCTTTATCCACAAGAGAAGTCACAGCTAAAGTCAATTGCTACCTTACACCTCGCTTTTCAATTGCTTTTGTTGATGATACGAATAGTATCTTGTTTTAGTTCATAGGGACAGCGTCAATAAACAATAGTCAGCATTTCTGACTGTCAAACTGGGGGCCAAGGTAAACTCACGCTCTGAGCACTTTTGGATTTATTTTTCTTGCAACGAGCCAGTTGGTCTGCCTGCAGCAACATTTATGTTTTTTCAGAATGTTACTGTTTTTTGTGATGATTTAACTAGAGAGCCTTAGGAATTAGCTAAAAGAGCTAGGGTGACTCGCCACGCCGCGATACCTTTCTCCAAGGAGACAACGTCTACCAGGCCACAACCCATCAGTCCCTCATCTTCTGTTCCAGGTGAGCTGTCTTCCTCTTGAAACAAAAAGACGATGATGATTTAAACTAGTTGTTGTTGTGGTTGTTGTCTGAAATACCTTTTTATTAGGACATGAATTTTGTTTGCTTTCTTTGAATCAAACAGCTACTATTTTCTGAGACAAAAAAAGGGTTGTCCAATACACCCGTACTGTAATGGATCGTCCGTAAAGAGCTGTATACTGTCGGTAAACTACATCTCATTAGTGGGACTTAGAATATTTTCATGGCAAGAGAGGGTATATACACGTTTTGTCGGCCCGTGTCAATGAAGCACTACGGATCGTATGGATCGTACGAACTGTAACAAACAGTGCCCTGATGTAAAAATGAGATACATGCTCCGTATGTGCTCAGAATACGGAACATTAGCAAGGCTGACCTTTTTTAAGGAGCGTGCGATCCGTCAACTGCTCTTAAAGCAGTGTTGTTAAGGTCCGAACTGGCAGCGCAGCACTACTGGACATGATTGAAATTAGCTGGAGTTATGGAGTAGCAAATGAGGCAGCGTTACCTAATACTGATGAGATGGGTTGAAAAAGTGAATCGTAGCCAGTTTTTTGGGTTTGTCTTTTGTTCGATATAGTATTTCTAATGATATAAAACTTCCATGTTCTTATGGAAGAAATAGGGTTGTTTAATTATTTACTGTTTTTCTCTCACCAGAGCGGCTGTCTTCTTCCTCCACACTTATTTCGTCCGAACTCTGCACCATAACTACCTGAATTTTCTGAAGTTAAAGTGAATTGTAATAAATATGATTTTCCTTGTATAAATTTGTTTAGTATAGTATTCTGTTGGTATTTGTAAACACATGAATAAATCAATCGGGACTGACTTGATATCACTTAATAGAGTTGGCTTGCACTATCGTTATAGCATTATTTTTTATCGTAATTGTTATAATTACTGTGCCAAAACCAACGCTCACAGAGCCGCTTGGCATCGAGATAGTTCGTTTCGGCCAAAAAGGGGCCCAGCGTACACAGCAGGTATTAACAAAGGAAACAAGGTGGGGGGTGGGGGGAGCGGGTTGTAACTGGCAATTAAACATGATTAAGTTCACTTAGGGTAAATGTCTTAATCTGAAACTCAGTATTCAGTTTAAATGAGTTGTGAGTTTAGTTTATCGGAGCCGGCGATTTTAACCAACCTTCAGGCTTTCAAGATCGAGGCTCTTCGAAAACTTTTCGATATGTTTTGTTACAGAAGCTGCTGCCCTACAAGTGAAGAAGATGATCTCCAGCTGACAACTTGAAGTACTCATCTAAAAAAACAAAGTTTCAAAAGACCAACTAAGCTCTGGTTTTTGTAAACCTTCTTTCAGCTCAGTGGCAGCCACGACGCTAATTTAAAACTCTCAGTCTACTAGAAAATTTCGGCAGAAAAAGGCACCCCTTTCGAAATTTCCTTTGACTAATGGTAACTCTTTCACATTACCTACTAACAGGAAATCTTCTTGTCATTTTCATGCAGTAGTATTAAAAAAATGCACTTTATTTGAGTGTCAATGTATTAAGTAGGAAAGTACTAACTGGGGACACTATTTTTTACGTCTCTTACGGGAGAAGGGACCGCCATTTTACATGGTCATCCGAGCCACGCGAATGTCTAGCCGCTTGCAGTACAAAAGTGGTACCTTCATTTCTCAGTTATTTTAAGACCCTGAGTACTGGTCCGGCCCCGGAAATCGAGCCCGCGACCTCCCCCTTTGCAGTCACACGCTTTACCGACTGAGCAAACATTGCCGCCATTAAAATAAAATAAAATATGATAATGTAGGCCAAGAGAGGATAATGGGACAGATAGGGAATCTTACGGCGTTGGCCGGGATATGAGGTTGTAATTAAACGTAAGTCTAATTCCTGGGATGTTGCACATTTAAATTGATTTTTTGAAAACGTCATCATCAAGTCCAGCTCCATGCGCGACGCCATTGCTTTTACTGTCATTATAACACTAACAGCAACATCTTGTAACGTCACTGAATAAAAATTTACAGTTTTCGCCGGAAACCGACTTCCAATTAATTTCAAGGGCTTAATTGGTCCGAAAGTAACTTTGGTGAAATTGGCATAACCCAAGGGCCGAGACTGAGCTTTCTCTCTCTGTCTGTCCCAGTTTTCTATCTTGTATAGTACAGTCTTAAGATCCGTTTTTTTTTTTAATTTTGAAAAATTTTCCAAGTTCCTTTCATAGACTGTAAATACTTAGATGTTGATTGACATACCTCGCTTCTTTTTCAAATACATCAACTCTTGAGATACCTACCCTATTATGTACCTGAAGCCTGAAAAAGGTACTTAGCTTACGCAGATCAGGAATACATGTTATTTGCAATTAACATAAAATCAAATGGAGTGGTTATATGATATAGAAAATTTCTCACCTGCCTTAGACTTTGCGATTGTCGCCTGAACTGAGCAGAAGTCTCTCGAAGGCCCTGTAAAATAAGGTCTTAAAAAGAAATGAGGGCCTTATTAGTTATGTAAACTAAGTATATAGTATAAGCCATAGTAAAAATAACTTTCACTGGCGAAAAAATAACTCGAAAGGAAAGCTCAAAATGCTGTTTAATGTATTTCAAGCCTTTAACTTTATGGATTGCCCTATAGCTTCACCGAAGGATAATTGGTAAGTTATGCTGGGTGATATAATATGTACCTGGTGTGCACGGACAAGTCGATTTTTCTTTGGCAAGAAGCTTCAGTTCCCCGAAGGAGGAGTGAAGCCTAGAAAAGTTCCCTCTAACATGTTGTAAGGAAAACAGGTTCTGAAAAGGTTAAACATGACAAGAGCAAACGTGAGGCAAACTATAAGTAAATTGCAACTGAATGTTTTATCACTAGGAATGGCTTAGACGGTAGTAATGAGGGGCCTTACAGTTCCCCTGTTATTCTCAGACCAGTATGAGGCTGAAAAGGATCTTTGGATTTTACTGGTGCGTTCAGTACTAAGGAATTGTAAATGACAACAACTCGATATTACATTAAGTCACTCATTTATTCACAGTCGATAATATACTTACAAACTGAAAAATAATACTAATAATAATAATAATAATAATAATAATAATAATAATAATAATAATAATAACGACACCACACAACGCGGATGGCCATAGTAAAAAAAATCTTGGAAATCAATTAACTACTGGCTTTATAACTGTATTTAAAGCTGAAAAAGTTTAAGTTAAAGATAGATAAGTCCTCGTCAGGGAAATAACTGATGTACATGCAACATTTCAAGTTATTTGTGATAACGTTATGGCTGTCAGTATAAATCATATAGCTTTTGGCGATGCATATAAGGAATTCAAAAAATAAATAAAGTCGGACTCACCTCAACAAATTTTGTAAGCGCAAATAAACCAAAGAATGGTGTTCTGCAAGGTCCACTCAGATGTGTTACAAGTGAAAAGAAATTCACTAGAGCGTCATGTAGGTATTCACAAGTATCTGCGTCAAATGGGGGACTATAATCCACAAGTAACACTCGAGCTATATATGAAAAGAAATTAAGACAGCACAAAAGATTAAGAGTGTCCTTTTAAATCCATGCCAAATCTTAGTCAATTCTGTGTACTTAAGGGTGGGATTCGTCAGCGAAAACCAAAATAGACCTTTTCACGGTTTTTTCAACTTTTTATATGGACCAGTCGGGGAAAATCCGTCAACACCGCTACAAAGAGCTTAGTAAAGTTTCCAAATTTGAAACTGATATGACTTTAGCGAACGAAGATATAGCTCTGTAAAGTTGAGAATATTTACAGCTGAAGTTTGTATGGTTGGAGACAATCAAGTTTGTGCCAGGCCCCCACCAAACAAACTGTAAAATTTCGCTACTTTGAGAAGCTGTATCCTCATTAGCTTTCAAAAAATCACTTTCAAACTTAAGGCGCTCTTTTCAGTAGTGTCGATGGACTTACCCTAACTTGTCCATGTCAAAAGTTGGAAAAAAAAACGAGGAAAGATCTGTTAGATTCTTTATCTCAGCTTGGTTAGATTCGTATACGTACGACGAAAGAATAGCCTGAATTTCATCCGATTACTTCGAGTCGTTAGTACTCCCTCAGTAACGTCGTTGTTGAGAGGAGAAAACGACTCGAAGCAATCGGATGAATTTCAGGCAACGAAAGAAATGAAAACTCAAATGACTCTCTAGCTAGCGTACAAGCAAAAGTGACGAGAAACAGCAAAGCCAATTAATCCTCAAAACCATAATATCAAAATTTAAATTCTCATTTCTTGACGGAGGTTTTTTAAATATCAAGTAAATTCAGCTTCCTGTCTCAACTTGATACTCGTGACCTCTCTTTTTTATGAAATTTTAGGGATGAAATTTGATTCAGCCAAAAGGGACTCTCACTTATCATGAATCCTAAAAAGTCGGATATATGTTTGATATAATGAATTCATTAGAAGAGTGGACTCTTTAGATTCACAATCGATTCAAAGTTTACCAACCATGTGAAAATCGAAATCACTAAACCGCGGTATTATAATCATGAGGGAGTCTAACCAGCTAAAACCAGGATACATTTTTCAAATAAATAAGGAAATAAAATAATAAACTTTAAAATTGTTTTAATCAGTATTGTTTTTTTTCAATTGATAGCTCATTCACAGGCTGACTCTTCATCAATTTTGGTTTTTTAGGAGTTGGAAAAAAACAGGTGTAAGCTTACTTCGGAAAAAAAAAGACTCTCGGAGCAAGCTCGAGAACTAACAACGTAAACAAAATCGACGTGGCGATGTCTCCAGCGTCATTACATACCTGGTTGTCTTACGAATGCTGTTCTTCTGGGTTGTTTATCTACAGTTTTCTCCATTTTAACTGCATCGTAGAAGCTGAAATGGGTTATAAAACGTTCAAGTTTTCCTCTGAAAAATAGAATAACCATAAGCTTATTGAAGCGAGTACAAATTATTTTTTCCGAATCCTGAGGTAATTCATGTGAAAAGAACATAACTGAGTATTTGGTAAGATCTCAGACGATAAGTGAAACCTTAAGCTTTAATAAGTTTAAAATAACTGACGGCGAATGGACAGGTCGTTTATAAGACTAAATATTCAATCAGTTTGAACAGGAGCCTATGGGGTCCTGGTTTGAAAGAAAACCGCCCTCAATCTTTTCTTACCTTATATTTCACAAACCTCAGACTGTGGTTTATATTTCCTCTCAAGCTTAGCGAAGAATAATGAAGAAAACTGGTAGTCAAATATGCATGCAGACGATTGTATGAATCGATGTCTGTTGTGAGTGAAGTTTGTTCCCGTCGGATCTTGACCACATTTTGGCGGGAAACTCCTGTTTCTGATCAAAGAGTAGTTTCTTCCTACGTTACTTTTACCGCTGGTCTGAAATGCGTTGGGCTCATTTAGCAACACGAGATCACCGCCATCTTGAAAATTTCTTTGTGAAGGAACTTGAATACGTATAAATTTCCCACAAAATGAGGGATGTAAAAGGATATTTGAGTAGAAAACAGAGCGAAGGGGGACCTTTAGCATCGGATTGGGTTTCTCTAGGAGAGTTATACGAAAAAAGGTGAGGATTGTTCGATTTTCTGACAGTTTGATGAACTCAGCTGATACACTGGGATTGCTTAGTCATATCTGCTTGTTAAGGTCTGTGTCTAGTAATCGAGTCACAGAACACGTTTTTGGGTTTGAAAAAAACGTAACTACACAGATCTAAATTATTTTTGTAAGTTGTGTTAATAGCCTGTTTGGTAGGAGTTATCGAGTAGGCCGCTTGCAATGTACATTTGCCACACTCTGACTCGTTGAGCTTTTGATAATAATAGTAAGCTTACTCTGAACTAGACGCAGGTAAACTGGCCTCGGGCCTCCTTATGAAAAAAATTTCAAATGAGAAAACTTCACGTAAAAAATCTTGGGCTTCAAAGGCCACGTATATCGAAATAATAACAGTCTATATGTATAAACATAAAGGTCGGTACACACTAGGCGACAAGTTGCAGCAACAAGCTGCAGCGACAGATCACTCCGTGTGTACAGGTCGCCTAAGCAAAAAGCTTATATGTATGTTTATAACTCTTTGTACATGGAAAAGGTGTCTTTAATAGCATTTAGTTGAGCCTATACTTGCAGGTTGTGTTAATTAATTGAATTGAATTGTGTACCTTTTTTCTTAGTATTATATACAAGTCATATTTGGGGATTTTTCTCTTTATATTTTCAATTAGCTTTGTATTTTTATCAATTTTTTTAAATATCAATATGCAGCATTGAGCCTAGTTAACTTGTTTTAGATTTTTAGCCTTCTTAATACTTAGTCTCGGGCTTGGTAGACTTTGTAACCACACCCTGTGTATTTGACGATGAATAAATAATCTTATATTATCTTATCTTTACTGAAAGGTCCTACAATTTTCAGCTGTAGCAGAGGCTCATGACCAATTATAGGAAAAATAAGTTTAAAAACATGCAGTCAAATTATTCTCAAAGTGGACCAGGATGGCCCAGTGTTTTCTGTAGGTGCTCTCCCCAGGGGGGCAGACCTTAGTGTCCACATTATAGAGATGTCCCTATAGTAGTGGTACAGTTGAAGGAATTGTAGAAATTAATTGGTGTCTTTGAGACAAGATGCACTGTACAATATAGAGAAGTGCCTGTATTACTATTGATATAAATTTCTGTCTGTAAAGATGTCTGTAGATTTGATCTCTTTACAGATATGCCAAAGTGCACTTACATACATGGAATACCGTGAAATTCTGAAAATAAGCCACTCCATGTATGAATCGCTCTAAATATAGGCCCCCCAAACTCATAACACAAAAAAACGTCCGATAAATTGCCCCTCCAAATACAAGCCCCCCCCAGGGCTTGTACTTGGAAATTGTCCTCAAATTCAAAATAAAACAAAGCAAAAACTGTACAGTAACACATAAATTTTTGCATTTGCCATAGTCTTGGTCCATATAGACAAAGTACTTGCATGGCTGAGTTTTAGAAAGATCTATGTCCTCAAGGCGAGTTTCAGTAAAAACTTGCTGCAAATTACTGACATAAATTTCCTTCCAACTATAAGCTTTGAGGCATATTTCGCTCCCAATACAGTTGTATAAACCTGGCTGATTTTGAAGTGCAAATTTTCCTCTGTATATGAGCCTCTCTGAATATAAGCCCCTCAAAAAGGGCCTTTGAAAAATATAAGCCCCAGGGTTTATTTTGGGAGTTTTACGGTTTGAATTCACACTTCCTTTAAACATAGAACTCTGTACCTGTTTTTTTTTTAATCCTATTGTATGAAAATCTGTAAAATAATATCTTTCAGGTTGTGGCATCAGCTAACTCTCAAACTTACTGAGTTTGTTAAGAATGACTACTTTGCTCAAAATGGAGGGCTTGTTGAGGTAACTGTCAAGAGAACATACAGCTGTGAAAAATGTTGTCAACAAATGTGGCTGTTTCAGTGGGAAATTAAGGGAATTGTTTTACACTTGTATTAAGCAATTGTGCGATCCATTGACTTGTACACTTTTTGCCATAAAATGACATGTACATGTACATATCTGATATCAGGCTACTTCATAATTAAAAAAAAAAACAGAAAAATGTCCTAATTTGAGCACATCACTAAGCTAAGTTTTAACTTAAAAGTGTAATTTCTTTTCTTCCCAAATGTTTTTCACTGCAATGTGCCTAGAAGATAAATACAATTTAAAGGGTTTCCTTGAAATTAACGTACAGTGTATATGTTGTAGTTAATTCTTTATCTCACATAGTTGTTCTTTTTTCTTTTTTTTAAACTTCATTAGCATCCATTACCACACTCAAAAACAAAAAACAAAAACAAAAAAAATTACCTGAGATAAAATTTAACTACATATACATGATTGTTTTTTAAGAGTTCTTCACTTACATATAAGTTCTAGTATGCAAAGAAAGTACATGAAGTGTCAGATACAAGTAACCTGGGGTTAGTGGATTTTGTTGTCGGGCTGGTGAATGCTGTTGTTACATGTAACTCCCCCAATGGACAAGGGCTTGTTTTAGGCTAGTCGGAATGACTTTTGGGAGCAACAGCTTGCCTGAATGACAAGCTGTAGATGTACAGGTACTCCACCCTGAGTTCAAAATACTTTGTCCTCTTTATTCACCTGAGTAACAAGTGAATTAAAAGTTATGTGGACTTGTTGTAGATTTTGTGAAATTGTATTAAATGATTTAGATTACAGTGCACTACATCACCTATCTTTACTTGGGTGTAAAAGTACATTATCCCTCTTTTTTGTAGATGTTTGAAAATTTCATCGCAGACTTTGAACACAGGTAACTTCAACTAAATTTACTGTACATGTATATGGAAGTACATGAAGGTCTTTTTTTTAGCTCATACATGTATGTACAAATGATTGTATAGAAGAAAGGTCTTTGTTCGGTTTCATGCTTACAATACTACAGCTTAGATTTTCCCTGTGGTTAATCTAAACACTTTCTTTTTGTAATATTTTTTTTAATTGTAGAATAAACATGCTCTCCCTCATGGAAATTGTGTTGTACGTCATAAAGGAAATCAAAGGTAGTTAACAAAATTATCAGACAAATTTGTATAAAATAATGTTACAGGTCAAATTTGATTTCAAGTTAAATCTTTTTAACGTAGGTTGACTCTCAATTTCCATTGTCTCTTTGAGCTAGAAGACAAAGTAAACTGAGAGTCAACCTAGGTTAAATCAAAATTAACCTGAAGTCAAATTTGAACTGTAACATACACACTATATCACCATTTGCTAACTGCATAAACAGAGTTGATAGAAATACATGTAGTATTTGGAATGAAACTTCAGTTGCAATTTTAATTAAATTTTACAATGCAAACAAATGTATGTTTATTTCTAGAACCAGAAACTGCTCTTGAGTTCCTGGAGAGAGAAAAAGAGAAGGTTTGCACTTGTATTGTCTATTTTTTAAGCATAAGTTAAAGTTAATGTAACTGCCCTTGACTACAAGCCTGAGATTTACATTGTAAAGTGTATTTATGTCGTGGTTCAATTTTATCCTTCGTTTAAAATTTTAAAGTTTTCTTTTGTTTTAAACTCATTACCCTACATTTGGACATTACCATACTCAAAAAAAAGAAGAGAAAATTTAAATTTCAGGTAAAATTGAAACACAACATATACAGTTGTGGCAGGCTGGTGAAAATTGCACTTAAAATTCAGGAAAAAGTTTTTTAACCTACATGTAGATTGATTCTCAATTTCCTTTGTCTCCTTGAGGTTGGGCACACTCCCTCAAAGTATCGCATTTTGACTCACTATAATATAGCAGCCATCCATCCAATTATGCACATCTGTGTTCAGTGTAAACTTTACTTAAATCACTAAAACAATTTTTCTTAAATTGTGCTTTTCCTACAGATAAAAAATGATGTAGAGGCTGAAGTGCTCTGCATGACAGCCATTGGTAATATTAAACTCCAACAAGGGAACATGGAAGAAACAAAGGTACATGTACATACGGTACAAATTTATACTTTATACATTTAATTTTTGGTTTTGATTCTTGTGAATAAAGAAACAGTCTACATGTAAGTCATAATAAAATGATATTACATGTTTGCATAGTAACTTTTTGTTAAGTTTTCTCAAAGCATATTGTTATTTTGTACAGCTTTCTTCATGTACTTCATATTAACTTTATAGCAGTTTTATTGCTGCATACAGCCATTGTTTGTGGTTATTCCTGTTTTATTTTTTTTTTGGCAAGTGAAGTTAATGAAACTCAGAAAACTCTGTTACCGGTAGTTCATCTAAGGTTATCACCAAAAGAAATAATATTTTGTTGTACTGGTACAATGTAGCTCATACACTGTAAATGTTTTGTGAGTGTGTGTAGTCCTGTTCATAACCACATTCTTAACAAAAAAGATGACTTGGATCGAATCAGTCTACTTCATCTCTTATTTAAACTTAACACAACTTTGTGTCTCTCACTTTTGTGTAGTCACACAGGGCTAATCTTAATTACACATTGCAGACATGAGCATACATGTACATGTACACTGTACGATTAAAAGTATCTGTACAAATCCTGAATCCATCCTCTTTTGTTACATGTACAACCTAACACTCTTTTGTTTGTAGACGATAGTGGAGCAAGCCAGAGCTGTACTAGAAACCATTGATGGAGTAACCACAGTCCATGGCAGATTTTATGAACTGTGCAGTAACTATCACAAAGTAAGTACATTCGTAGGTTAATAATAATAATAATAATAATAATAATAATAATAATAATAATAGTAGCATTTATATAGCACCTATCCAGTAGTACATCTATTGTAGGCGCTTAACAGCTTATGTGGGTTGGTGCTTATTGTTTATACAGAGTAGTTATTTGGTCTTGTTTACTGTCAGTACTTCAACTGTCATATGTTTTGGGGTTCATTTTTTGTTGTTGTTTTAAATTTTTCAAAGAGGTTTAATTTTATTTCTTATTCTTCGATTTTGGCAATAATCCAGTGGACACCAGCTTAAATGAGTTCAGTTTGTGGCTCACATTGTGTAGAATACATGTTCTAAAACATGATACCAGGACTTGCTCTCAATAAAGTGTGAAATGTCAGATTACAAATCCTTGTACCATGACCAATTCTTGTTATTAATGCAGTTTTAAAATCCATACTGCTCCATAATTTCATAAAAAAACTGACCATGTACATTGTGCCCTTTATCTTTTGTTAGATTACTGGCTCATACAATGACTACTACAGAGATGCTCTGAGGTTCCTGGGCTGTGTAGATATTAAAACCATGCCAGGTTTGTTGTACGCGACTTGTTAGTTTACTTTAGTGCGAACAGTCATTAAGTGGTAGGTGTATTTTGCAGTTAAGTTTAGGAAACTGAGTCAGTCTACATGTAGTTCCAGGAAGGGTCATTAATATACAGGGCAAACAGAAATGGAATTTGATTTACTCAGATCTCTAACCCTTATCAATAAACTTCAGGGTCATTCGATGTTTGGCAGCCATTCTGCATTCTGCAAAGAACTCCTTCCAGGGGCAGAGGGGGGGGAGGTGTACTTGTCTAGTTGAAAAATGTGACAGATTAAAAGGGGTATACATTTAGCTGAGTGTTCATGTGGAAATGTATCTTGATAAGCAACAAATTAAATGAAAAGCTTAGGGAACTGTGTGGTGTCAATCTTAACCAGTTGTGTCTGGTTAAATGTGCGGACATAAAAAATTAATAGACTGCACAACACAGTGTGGGAGTGAACTTGTTACATGTGTGATGTTAAGACCCACAAGTTTCAAAACCATTTTTTGTAGTTGGATTTGTTAAATAAAATTCATTGTGGAGAGGCATGATTATGTCTATCATTGGCATTTTGTCCTATTAATACATGCACCTGTAATACTATATGAAAAATCTAAACATTCAAATGATATTTTTTTATGATTATTGACCTACACTGTAAGGTCACTAGAAGGTTACTGATAAGGTTACTCACTAGGAGCAGTAGCACAGGCCTACCAACACCCTTTTTTGTTACCATTTACATTGCTCAGCAAAATGCTGCTTGCCTGTCTGACAAAGTATGCTGGCCTGACAGGTTGTTTCACTAACCCCAGGCTATCAAACAATGCGTTAATAATTAACGACAAATTATTTGTCTCCCCCTTTACATTGCCTTACAGTACAATGTTTGTACAGGAGTTGGTTATGCCTGAATAAGAAACTTGTAACACATGATTGTTTTGTTTTGTACATGAAATTACTTGACATGGCGAGTTGTTGTGGTTTTCATTGTAAAGATGTAATGAAAAATGACTGTTTATTGTAGCTTTTCTGGTTTATTTATCAGTTGCTGAACAAGTTGATAAAGCCCTTCACCTATCACTGGCAGCTTTACTAGGGAATGATATTTATAACTTTGGAGAGCTGGTAGGTTGCACAATGAACATGCATTCGCTGACGCCATTGTGATAAGAGCTTTTACAACTCTACATGTAGTGTCTTGTACATTTATAATGGTTAGAAAACTATTATTCAAGTAAAGACATTTAAAAAAGGTTTGTGTTCAATAAGTATCATTTGTTTGTTTTCTCAGTTAGCACATCCTGTTCTGGAGTCCCTCAAAGGAACACCACATGGATGGCTAATTGAATTACTTTATGCTTTCAATAGTGGTATGTTTTCCCCATTAAGTACAATGTATAGCAGTAGCTGGAATATGTACACTGTATTTCATATAGTTTACACAATGCAAATCTTCAGCTGTCCTCGCAACAGCTTGGCAATAACAAAATTGAAAACATTTCAGCTTAATAAATGTACATACCTACTAAACTGCACTAATATAGTCATGAATCACTGCCAGGTCTTGTATATTTTGTACCTGTACCTATTTGGGTTCATTTTTTCTTTGGTTTAAATTTTATTTCACTTTGTTTTTTGTTATAGTAGTGTTCATTGTATGATAGTACATAGAAAAACAGAAGATGAAATTTAAAGCAGAAATTAAGTTGAACCACAACGTACTGTACGTGTAATATACATTGAAAGTGAAAAGTAAAATTATTGCTGGGTCAGGGATTGAAAAGTTAGGGATATACTTTCCATTGCAGTCTGTGCCATCACTTTATACATGATACTAAGCTTACTGCTTGTTCCCAGATTAAACATCGTATTGAAATTTTTGTCAGAAGGGAGAGCGAACAGAAGGAAAATGTTAAATATTTTTTAAAATTTTATTTTGTTAAGGTCAGGGAAATGTTTAAGAATAATCAGGGATTTTTTTATTCTGGTGTTTCTTGTTGCTAGTTGCATGTACATGCACTCATCTTAACCATTCTTCCACAGGTGACTTAAGTAAATTTGAACAGCTCAAACGTCATTGGCAGAAACAGGTAATTTAGACCTCAAATACTATTACAATTTCCAGATAAATGCTTTTTTTGTTTGCTGTACAGTGTGTAGCTGTACACAGACTATGTACCAGAATCATTTTCAAGTGGATTAAACAATTATTATTTTGTCAACCTAAAATCTACCTGCTCCACTTGGCATTAAAATTTTTCAGCTTTCCCAGTCTGTCCACTTGGACAAGCATCAATTTATTTTAAATCCCCATCAGCTTAAACCTCACCTCAGCTACAATGTATCATTACAAACCTTGAAAGAATTACACTGAACACTGAACATTCTTATTTTAACTTCTTAGTATATTTACAGCGAAAATAAGGTAATTAAGAAAAGGAGCTCAAATAATAAGTTAGGTAAGAAGTTAGAACTATCCAAAATGCTGTGAGGCTCATGAAGTGGATAGGCCAGACTATTTACAAATTTCAAAAAATTCAAAGAAATAATTCTTTTCATTATGATGCAAGAGATGGCTTCCTACAGTTTGAAGTTATATTATTGCATATTATTGTGCAGACTGGCACTGTTGTAGTACTGAAAATTACCATTTTCTCTTCTACAGGCTGACTTAAACCGCAACTACAAGAGCCTGAGACAGAAGATCAGTCTACTCTGTTTGATGGAGGTCTGTTAATTTTTATTCCGTTCCTTTTGCATTGATACACGTACATTGTACCTTTAATATTTTAACATTGATGAAGTAGAAGAGAGGTGTCTGTTCAGAAAAGATGTTTTGCTGGTTGCAAAGAGAAGCAAGAGCATCTTCAAAGACTTTTGAAATGACACATATATTATCAATTTTACTCTGTTTTCTACCTGATCACTGTATCAAATCAATGTTATACATCCTGGTTTTGTTGTTTCCCTTACAAATGTCGAGCTAAAGTTGTTTTGTCTCTCTTACAGCTTAACTTATCATTGTTTGTCTTTTTGCTTGCTTATTTATTTGTTTGTTTGTTTTTTTTGTATTGTTTTTCACAGTTGACATTTAAAAGGCCATCCAATGACAGAAACCTGACATTTGAAATGATAGCAAAAGAAGCACAGCTGCCCCTTGAAGAGGTTAATTAACAGTCAATTTTTTACAGGGTTGTCACAAAGGTTTCAGGTTTCTTCAGTCAGGGACAAAAGTAGATGACACATTTGTCTTAAACGTGCGCTTTTGTCAACGATTTCATTCATTTATCATTTAAGTCATTTTAAACGCTTAATTCCTTATTGCTCGCGTAGACTGCAGTCACCAAGCTTCACAGACTCAGTCAAGAGTTCTTCCAGTTTAATATTAGTTGTCTACTTCACTTACAAATTATAAATACATTGTGCAGATAAATGTACATATACATGTCAATCAATTCGTCATATTTTTTATATCTACATTGGCGTAAAACTTTCTACCATTTATAGGAACGTATTATTTGTACAGTATTGTGTATGTTTGTTTGGCCTCTTTTAGCCACGATTTTATTGTAACTTTCTTTTTTCCAACCCCAGGTTGAACTTCTTGTGATGAAAGCTTTATCACTTGGTTTAGTAAAAGGTAAAAAGTTGTGATAAACATACTATGTACCTACATAGAATGTACTCAAGGAATACCAGTATAAAAATATAGCTTCGTTTTTTTCACTTCTTAGAAAAGGTTTGATCACGATATCACTGTTTGAATTCTGAAATAAGATTATAAGTGTGTACGTTTTCCACAGTGATATAATTATTTTGCAATTTGTTATACCCAACAATTTACCTTCTCTTTTCTGAGGCCCGTTCACTTTACCTAAGAAATCAAAACAGCCTTAAAAGTCAAGGGACATTAATTTTTAAAACTTAAAACTTTATTTGAAATATTACAGAGAAACAATTTGCCAAACAAAACGTGCGATTTTTGAAAGCTAAATTTCGGTTGAGAATCAAAATCTCTTTTGGAAATAAAAATTTTACCTAAGATATCCATAGCAAAAACAAAACTTTATTTAAAAAATCGAAAATGTCTGTCCAAAACCAAAATACAATTTTTTAAATCAGTATTGTATTTATGAAATCAATAGGAAAACTTTTTTTGAGAGACTGGAAATCTCAGTTGAGAAGCCAAATCCCATTTAGGATATAAAACACCATATACAGTTACGAAATCAAAATCAGAATTTTTGTGCGAAGTCCAACTCCAGTTTTGAAAAATGAAAGCCTCCTTTATGAAATCAAGAGATATATTTTAAAAATGAAAACTTTGTTAGAGAAATCAAAAGTTTTAGTATTCACCAAATCAGTGAATAGCAATTTTCGTGCGTTTTGATTGGCTCACGTAACTCGGAATATCCTTGGATAATAGGCTGATTTAGCAACAGAACGGGAACGTCAGTTGACGACGGCGCGCGCAGATCAAACAACTGGCTTGACCAATGGAAGAGCGGCAAATTGGGCACCGGAAGTTGTGTTTAGTCCTTTCCGCGCGCTTTCCCGTCGTCAACTGACGTTCCCGTCCTGTTGCTAAATCAGCCTATTCACTGTTTTGGGACGGGATTCAAAATGGCTTCTCGTTTCGCGACAGTTCCGAAAGATGAAATTTTAGCAGTAAATGAAGCAGCTGCGCCAACAAATACCAAGAAAGAGACAAAATTTGGCTTCTTACTGGTCGGTAGAAGAAACAAAGTCATAAAAAAATGATCCCCGAAACCTTGTCAATTGAAACGTAAACAAACTGTAACTAAGTGACCTCTTTTATTAAAAAAAAGTTCCTTTTTGATTTTTATCCAACTGATTTTGAAAATACTAAAACCTCTATCTCCCTCAGGGTCGGTTCATAGCGCTAATATATCCACCACTATTCACCTTCCCTTCGGGGAATAGTTGTATACTCTTCACCTCCCCTTCAGGGGATAGTTGTATAGTATTCACCTCCCCTTCGGGGGATAGTTGTATACTATTCACCGTCCCTTCGGGGAATAGTTGTATATTATTCGTCTCCCCTTCAGGGGATAGTTGTATACTATTCACCTCCCCTTCGGGGGATAGTTGTATACTCTTCACCTCCCCTTCCGGGGATAGTTGAATAGTATTCACCTCCTTTTCGGAGGATAGTTGTATACTATTCATCTCCCCTTCGAAGGATAGTTGTATATTATTCACCTCCCATTTGGGGGATAGTTGTGTAGTATTCACCTCCCCTTCGGGGGATAGTTGTATACTATTCACCGTCCCTTCGGGGAATAGTTGCATATTATTCGTCTCCCCTTCAGGGGATAGTTGTATACTCTTCACCTTCCCTTCCGGGGGATAGTTGTATACTCTTCACCTCCCCTTCCGGGAATAGTTGTATAGTATTCACCTCCCCTTCGGGGGATAGTTGTATACTATTCATCTCCCCTTCGAAGGATAGTTGTATATTATTCACCTCCCATTTGGGGAATAGTTGAATGCTATTCACACTTACAGATGTGTAATTTGCCCTCAGGCTCCATTGATGAAGTTGAGCAGATGGTTCACATGACTTGGGTTCAACCAAGAGTATTGGACTTGACCCAGGTAAATATTCTAACATTACACTTTAATCACACTCACGGCTGCATTTATGAAAAATAACTGGACTTCTTTATTTTCAGTGATCTCTATTGCTATAGCTGACCTTCCTCAGTTCTGCAAAGAAGTTGTTGTGGCTTTGGTGGGGGAAATATTGTCTAACTGGCTCGCCTCTTATCTACGAGGAATTTCTCAAATACAATGTATATCCCTGGGGGAAGGGGTGTGGCAAGATTATAATGCACTCGTCTCAAGAGAGGGGAATTAAAAATCGCGGCTTTTAGCTTAAAAGTATGCGTATCCATTGAAGTGGGTAGCCCATTTCTTATGTCTTTCATATGCGATTAAAAGGAAACTTAAATTCATGTGGAAGAATGAGCGTTAAGAGTGGATTTCAAAAAGAGAGGCGCTGTTCGAGAAATGAGCCCGCGCCGTTGCGGCGGAAATCAAGCGCACTTTGAAAAAGAGGATAAGCCACAGCCGCAGCAGCAGATTGGTGCGCTTTAGAGTGTTCTGGTAACCAAATGCGTCATTATTCAAAGGAAGGTGACAACGGGTTATGGATTGAATAGGTGTTCATACTGTCCTTGTTCTGTTTGTTATCTGTAGATTGGCCATATGAGGGATCGTTTATCAGAGTGGTGTGAGAAAGTCAAGACTCAAGTCTATTCTGTTGAAGACCAAGGTCCTGAGCTGCTCGTGTAAATTTGTTACGTCTCTGCTTCATTTGTAATAAAGAAGATATAAATAAACTTTTTGAATTGCCGAGAAATGTCTTAGTATGTTTTCTAGAGTTGGAATTTACCGTCCTTTCACTGAATACCTACGTTTGATGTAAACACTCGTTTATGCTTCGTGTTCCTTTAGATAGTAATTATTGAGTCAGTTTTTGCTATTAGCGGAACCCGGGTTTCTTTTTCTGGTATTCTAAAGCATTTTCTCGGATAATTTTCTCTGTTATTTTAGAGCTTCCAATCATCAACTTGTCCACAAAAAGAATTAAAAGTGAAATGCTTTTGAAACTTTCAAATCTGACTTCAAATCTCGCAGTAACCCTGGGTTATCTTAACCCAGCCTTGAACAACTCGGCCCCGTTTGCTGGGATACCAAATAATTACAATTCCAGTTTGGGATGAATTTGGCCACAAAAGTGGCCGTTTATGTAATCTAAGCGTATAAAGCTAGGACAATCCGGATACATAAGAAGATTATCTATAGTTTTCTAACTTTGTTATTGCAGTGAGCAGGTCTAGGTCTAGGTCTTGTCTTAGAAATACACATTTTACGTCACGGATGGCGGGAACGCCCCCCCTTACTGGCAGCTGGAGAAATGAAGTATTAATCAGTCACATTTACTTCTTTCACAGTCTTTTTCGTTTGTGTGTTGTTTTTTCAAATTTCCTCAGGTGGAATGTAAGTATCCAAAACGCTCTGTTAATTTATTAGTGACCCTTAGTTATTCTGAGGCCAGGGTATGATAGTTAAAAACAAAAAAATTCACTGAAAAGTAAATTAAAAGCACTCTATGTTCGAAAAACAAAAAAACGTCACACGGTGACCACTACAATCGGTCTTCATGAGGGACTTTTCCCTCCCCACTCCTCCCCTCTCCCCTTCCAAAAAACTTTGTGCTATTGGCTAGACTGCTGGAGAGAAATGAATAAAGCGAGGAAGCTTTTTTCGGGGAGGGAAGGAGAGGGTCAGCATTGTTATCCTCCTCCGAAACATACCAATTCAGCGACTGCAGTTCACTGATTTTGTCGCCGATAGCAATTAACATGGTGCTTAGGAAGGGGTGAAAAATATGTTAGTGTTAAGTCGCTCTACATACTGCTTTCTCGTAAAGATCAGTTATTGTCTAGAATGAACGTAGTTTAGAAACAGAGTCCGGAATTAGTCTGATCTTCTCCCACACGCAACTGTATTTTGATATTTCATTGATCAGACCGGTGACTCAAACAACTGTTGACATGAAAGTAGAACTCTCCTGGCACTTCATTGCAGGTCCCACTATAAACATCCTCTTTTAAAGCACGTAACATAAAACCAAAAGCAAAACAATTTTACCTGTGACACAAAAGAAACGTTTTCTCGCCACCAATTCGATGCAGAGAGGAAAGAGAAAGAAATACCCTCTTTAAGCAAAAAAGATTTGAGCAATTTTTAAAACTAAGCCGGTAAAAGAGAAGAAGAATTTTTGGAGAAGAGGAATAAAGAGGGCTTGTCATCCAACGAAAAATGTAAGAGATTTGTTTACAAAACCTTGCCATTTGTTCTTTAACATTCCATCTCTTGAAAGTAAAAAGTAATGTTTTAATTCACTTTTCGGGAGATTCAGTGATCGTCTGAGTGCATACAGTTATGACTAAGTTAAGGTGTTCGATCTACCACAGGGATATTATTTAACGATGTTAATCACTACATGTGGATTTATCAGATTAGACATCAACGGGACCGGTTGTACGTTGTTAATTTAGTAGAGTTCCCATTAAGACCAAATCATAACATTGTGGTCGATCAGGAGATCAGAATGCTGTCAAGGGTATTCCAAGATACTGCCATGCGTATTTCCTGGAAATTCGTAACCAAGTTCTTCGAAAATGTACTCGTACGTTTAGGTACTGCTTCCTGCGAGATACCCAGTAGTATCTTGGACTCCAGATAAGGGTTATGAGGGGCAGTTCGGGGGTATAGTTGCTAAGGGGCAGTGCTGTTTTTCTCCCTCCTTTCCCTCTCTGACTCTGATTTCTGATTCTGCTTTTCATTTACTTTCTGATTTTCTGTTCTTTTTGTCTGTTTTCTCCTTTTCGGATGTTCAGACCTTACCACTCACAGTAATTAATATGTGAAACGGCCTAAGTGGAGGGCTGTCTTGTAGTTTAGCCTCTTTTATTATCATTTTGGTTCGATTGCACACGAAGTTCTTGTTGCGAATTAAGTGTTTTTTTTGTTGTTGTTGTTGTTGTTTTTTCCGTTTCATTTTTAGCGATGTAGACTTGAATCCCATCATGCACTCATCAGTTTGGTGCGTTGTTCTGACTTTTCTACTTTTACTGCTCACAACACAAGATGGGAATGGTAAGCTATCTATCTTCTGCAGTCAGAATTTGAACAGTTTTAGCAGCCTAGCTAGCCCCTACAAGTTCTCAGGTCGAACATGTTCTTACTCAAACCCGTACCCTACAATAATCCGTCACGTCACGGGAGCGAGATTTGCCTGGAACGCCGTTCTTGTCCCCAGGGTCTTCCGTCCCGGACGTCGAGCGCACAACGGAACAAGAGAGGACGCCTGGCAGCCAGGCCTGCAGTCTTAGTAATTTGAATCGTTCAAATCAAACCGTTCTCAAAGTAAAAAGTAACATAAAAAAGGGTTTTGAATATCTAGTGAAAAAAAGGCCTCGCTTAATTCTCACCATCAAAGTCATTTCATTTTAGTATATATATGAAAGCAACATGAAACACTCACGGCAGTGTGTCGTTATGATATATCAATACCCTTTATGTTTCCTCAAAAATACCCTTCTAGTTGGTTGTTATGGGATGAAACACAGTCTCGCGCGTGTGTGATATACTGTGTCAGAGAATAAATAGTTGAAAATTTATTTTTCATGATTTCACCATCCGCAGAGCTTAAGCAAATATATTTTACTGCATTATTTTTTAGATCATATTACATAATGCCCTATATAGACCGGGTTACCATGGGCGTGTATCATCATGAAGAACACGTTGTTCCACCACGCAGGCAAGACAGTTTCAAACTGGAATCTGACAAAGAAAGAGATAAATTTGATCCTCATGTTTCTCGGATTAAGTTGCTATTTTTCTTATATAAATCATCGCGTTTATTCCCATTTCACGGTAAAACCTGTATAATGAGGATTCGGAGAATTTAAAGCTTTTTTGCAAATCATTACCCTTCCTCGAGGGTTCTCAATAGTTTTCGGGACCCGGGATTTCCCTTATTTGAAGCTCGGCGGGATTCGGGATTTTAAAGCAAAATTGGGGCGAGTTTCGGGATTGAAAGTATGACCGTGAGGTGGGTTGCCAAAAATAACCATCTGGATTACGGGATTGCACGAAATCTGGGGTCCGAATGACGGGATTGAAGAACCCTTTTGGCGACTATCTTCCTCTCGTTCACTTCTTTCTTATTCTATTTCATTATTTAGGGAACGCAGGGGAAGAAGATAAAGATTCTTCTGAGGATGACACAGACCAAGAACCACAAAGGGTGATAAACCATTTTTCTTTTCCTGCCAATTCTAATTGTTCCTTAGCTTTATTGTCAGGTCGGAGGGCGTTTGTGAAAATATTCTTATACGCAACGTAGTTTACCTACCTGCTGCACACTTGTCATGAATATCTATAGTTAAATTTCGTTCATCTTGCTAACTTGTCTACAAGAGATCGAGAGCAAAAAAGAAAAAAGTAAAGTAAGTAGACACAGCCATCTAATGATTCTCCAAGCTTTGGGTACGTTGATTTCTCGGATCGTAATGATTGGTCAAAGGTATCCAAGGCAACTATTAACCAATCATATCCACTCAAACGATCCCAGAAATAGACCAATCTCGATACATTAAAATTACTGTGACTAAAGGTGATTTCTTTGTTTGTTGATGTTGTTGTTGTTTTTTCCCTTGCCTCGCAGACAAGTCTGAATTTTAACATATCGAAATTGGTCTCATTGTTGCACCGAAACCTTATGCCCGTTTAATTTCCCCTTAATTTAAGATGTTTTTGTAAGATAAAGATTAAAATGTTGAAAGAAAATAATAATAAAGTTCTATTCAACACAAGTTTTCCGTTTTGAATGACGATCCATTGAATTCGTCAAATTTTGAGAATTTGCGATATAACATCTGTAGCATGACTTGCGTTTAAAAAAATATTAAAACGATGAGGCATTCTTTATACTTTTCTGAGCTTTCTAAAGTTATATTTTAGGGACTGTGCAATAATTATCAGGAGGGGGGGGGGCTAAAACCAGAGGGGGGGCTTAAGTTAAAATAATGGAAAGGAGGGGGGCTCTACATTAGATTTCTCAAGTAAGTTGAGGGGGGGTCTTAATCAAATTTCATAAATTCGATAATGAATAAATTAACATTTTCCAAATAGAAAGATGCCACTCCTTTGACTATCCATAATGTCTAAATATTGCATCAACATAAACACATGCTTTAACTTATTTAGAATGTTAACATATGATAGATTGAAACAATCGTTCATGCACAGAAGTTACAAACCACGTTGTGAGCTTTGCCAGTAAAACATTTGCCATTTAAGAGGTCCCGCAGACATGCCTGGTCTGTTCTTGATTTAAACAGCGAGAGGGTTTCTAGGTCTACAGGTCTCTAGAGAGGGGGGCATATCATAATTTTGAGAGAACGTGAGGGGGGGTCAGAGCTAATCTTGACGCTGCTGGAGGGGGGACCTATCTAATTTTTCCTTTGGTGAAGCTCATTTTAGGACCCCCCCTTCCTGATAATTATTGCACAGTCCCTTAATACAAGCTCCAATTTACATCGCTTAATAAATTCCTTTTCAGTCTGAAATTCCTCGTCACCACCGTAGTCGAGAAGCACACAGACGTCACAACAGGAGAGCAGAGCGCGGTCGCTATCGGTCCGCCCTAGCTGTGGCCGTTGGCTGTGCTGTAGCAGGTGGCTGGATTTGCTTGGCAACGGTTGTCTATGTCGTAC